AAGTAAAATTCCAAAAACAGAATATTTTAAAACTTGTAAAAATCCCGTGAACTCTTAAAATGCCAAACATTTTAAACGTTTCAAAGATTCCAAAGGAAGGAAAAATCCTAAAAATCAAAAAATCGTAAAGATCTGAAAAATGCTTTCTTTAATTTTTATAAATCTTTAATCACTAGAGGTCGTAAAACCCTTACTATTATTTTATAAATCTTAGGGATTATAAAGATTCCAGAGATTCCAAAAATTCCACAGATTTAGACTCTTCAGGTCCATAAATTTTGGAAAATCTGGAAAAATGTATTTTAGAAAGTGGGAAAATTGTTGAAAATTTCGGAAAATCTGGGCATTTTGTATATTCTAGAAAATCTAAAAATTCGGGCTCATCTCGAAAATCTGTAAATTTCTAGAAATTTTGAAAATTTTGCAAACCATCAAAATCGAAAATTATAAAATCCTAAAATTTCAAAAGCTTACATAATCTTTAGATCATAGAAATTCTAAAGATTCCAAGGTTTTCAAAGGTTTGAAAGATTTAAAAGGTTTCAAAACTTTCAAAGATTCTAAAAGCTCGAGATTTTCTAAAGACCTTAAAGATTCCATACACTCGAAATTTAAAATTTTAAATACACTAAATATTCTAAATAGAAGAAAAAACCAACAAAATCTAGATGTTGGAGGTACTAATGGTCCTAGAAATTCTAAAAATTCTAAATTTTATAAAATTTTTAGTAATTCTAAAGTGTCCAAAATTTTCAAAGATTGGAAAGACTCTAAAGACTAAAAACTCTAAAGAATCCAAAAACTCTTAAGATTTTAAAGAATCCAAAGAGTTTTAAAGGTTCTTAAAGACTCAAAGGACTGTAAAGTTAAAAAGGTTTTTAATATTATAAAGATCCTAGTAAAATTCCAAAAACAGAATATTTCAAAACTTGAAAAAATTCCGTGAACTCTTAAAATGCCAAAGATTTTAAACATTCCAAAGATTCTGAAGAAAGCAAAAATCCTAAAAATCAAAAATCGTAATGATCTGAAAAATGCTTTTTTTAATTTTTATAAATCTTTAACCACTAGAGATCTTAAACACCCTAACTATTATTTTATAAATCTTAGGGATTATAAAGATTCCAGAGATTCCAAAAAGTCCATAAATTTTGGAAAATCTGGAAAAATTTATTTTAAAAGGTGGGAAAAATGGGGCAGACCTATTCGGAAAATGTTGAATTTCAAAATTCTGGCACAACTGGATCCTGATCATTTTAGAAATTTTGTCTATTTTGGAAAATCTAGAAAATTCTAGAATTTTTAAAATTTTGCAAACTATCAAAATCAAAAATCATAAAATCTCAAAATTTCAAAAGCTCAAATTATAGAAAATCTAAAGAGTCCGAAGTTTCCAAAGGTTTGAAAAATTTAAAAGCTTTCAAAGATTCTAAAGACTCGAGATGTTCTAAAGAGCTTAAAGATTTCATACACTCGAAATTCCAAAATATTCTAAATAGAGGAAAGAACCAACAAAATCTAGATGTTGGAGATACTAATAATTCTAGAAATTCTACTCTTTATAAAATCTTTAGTAATTCTAAATTGTCCAAAATTTGGAGAGACTTTAAACACTCTAAAAACTCTTAAGATTCTAAAGATTTTAAAGGATCTAAAGGTTCTACATACTTTCAAGATTCTAAGGACAGTAAGGACTCAAAAGTTAAAAAGATTTTTAAGATCCTGTTTCAAATGTTTCAAAAATTCTAGAGAAAAAAAGTGAAATTCGAAAAATCGAATATTTTAAAAGTTGTAAAAATCACGTGAACTCTTAAATACCACAGATTTTAAAGATTCTAAAGACTAAGGAAAACAAAAATCCTAAAAATAAAAAAATCGTAAAGATCTGAAAAATGCTTTCTTTAATTTTTATAAATCTTTAACCACTAGAGGTCTTGAACACCCTAATTATTATTTTATAAATCTTTGAGATTATAAAGATTCCAGAGATTTCAAAAATTCCAAAGATATAAACTCTTGAGGTCTATAAATTTTGGAAAATCTGCAAAAATTTATTTTAGAAATTTTGGAAAATCTGGTCATTTTGAGTATTTGGAAAATCTGAAAATTTTATGTAGAAATTTTGAAAATTTTGCAAACTATCAATATCAACAATTATAAATTTTAGAAAGTGGGAAAAATGTGGCAGCATAACTGGATCCTGATAATTTTAAAAATTTTGGAAAATCTGAAAAATCGGGCTAATCTGGAAAAACTGAAAATTCTAGAAATTTTGAAAATTTTGCAACTACCAAAATCAAAAATTATATATCTCAAAATTTCAAAAGTTTACACAATCATCAGATTCTAAAAATCCCAAAGTTTCTTTAACTTAAAATGCCAAAGATTTTAAAGATTCCAAAGACTCGAAAGAAAACAAAAATCATTAAGATTTAAAAAAATCGTAAAAATCTGAAGAATGTTTTCTTCAATTTTTATAAATTCTAATTCTAATTATTATCTCATAAATCTTAAATAACAAAGATTGTAAACATTCCTGAGATTCCAAAAATTCCAAAGACTCTTAAGGTCTATAAATTTTGGCAAATTTGGAAAAATTTAGAAAGTGGGTAAAATGTGGTAGATCTAGAAATGTTGAAAATTTCGGAATTTCAAAATTCTGGTATTCTGGATGGCTGATTTTAGAAATTATGGAAAATCTGGAAATTCTGGGAATTTTGTGTATTTTGGAAAATCGGAAAAATCTGAGAATTCTAGAAATTTAGCAAACTATGAACTTCGGAGAAATAAAAACAATCGAAAATTACAAAATTTCAAAAGTTTACACAATTTCAAGATTATTATATAAAAATTTTAATTTTTATAAATCCTAAAAGTCTTAGAAGTTTCGAAAGATTTCAAGGATCCCAAGAATCACAAAACAGGAATTTGAAAAGTCTATACTTATGGTTTATCAATGCATTCACATTTTTTTGGAGTGCTTATACAAGGTGATTAAGTACTGTCGCTATTAAATTATTATTACACGACACCTCATGAAAAAATAACCTTTGAATATTTGAATAATTTTTACGTTAGGTGCAAACAGGAAATGCACATTTTCGTATTCCATACACTAAATGCCAAAACAACAGGAAATGATCCTATTCCAAAACCTAGTTCGAATGAAACGACTAAAACATTTTGATTCAGAGTCGGCTTTTTGTTCCGGTTGGTACGCCACAACGATACCAACCATCATTTTCAAATAAAATTTTATTTCAACCTTCACCACGGGCTTGACTACACTAAGTGTCGTAAACACGTGGTACATTTACATTATTGTGTAACCTATTGCCATACAAAATCATACAACTGTGCTAATTGCTGCTAATTTTTACTATTTCCCATTAAAACTATAACAACACATTACAGTTGGTAATACATGCAACGATAAATTACCCAAGTTGGTTAAGTATAATCGAACTTTTTACGACTCTAAATCGCCCCAAAAATTACTATTCGCCCACTCAGTGGCGTAGAAAGTTCCATTCGTTTTTCAAACAAACCGCCGTTCATAAACATGTGCTTTCACGTTCGATTGTTCACACACCGGACTAATTTATTTGCAAAATCACTCAAACAAAAACAAAACCCACTTTCAGCCAGCTCCACCCACGAAACTTTTGTTTACACAACAATTAAATTACCAAATTAACAACATTGCTGTGAATTATTGGAGTGGAAGCCCATGGAAATTAATAATAATAACCGCGTTAGTAATTCTGCTAATTTTGTAAATTTTATTTAGTGGAACGCGAGAGTGAATGCGTTATGTCAAAGCGAAACTTCCTTTTTTCGCTTTAATTAGTGCGGTGGGAAGAAACGGCGTAAAAGTGCGATTAGAAGGGAATTTGTTGTTTCCTTTAATTAGTTTAAATGGCTAATTGCCAACTCGGATACACTTTTTCTTCTTTATATTTTTTTATGTTGGAGAAATTACAATCCCCTAGACATAAATGTCACATTTATAACCCCATTGACATTTACATTTTGGGGGAATGCAAATTTGAAGTGTTGCCAAATGTGGCGACTATAAAAAAAAAACGTTTTGAGTATCTTTATGGTGTTCGAAGCGATGTTTAGAGCTCCTACGCCTCGTTCAACAAAGCCACAAGGGAGTTGACTAATTTTTTAAACTTCAGTGGGCCGATTACCGTTATTTGGAGGTGGCGGGCTATAAATCAAAACCAAAGCTGTTTTTCAGCACATAGTCAAACCTGGTCCAAGAAAATTCAAAATTCTTTGAACTCCAAATTTATCTGTGACTTAAATCGTCGGCGACCTTAGTAAAACCGGACATCACAGTCAAATGAAGAATTAATGATGACTATAGTGTAGATAAATGAAAAAATAATTAGAGTGCAGTGGCGGCTCGTGTCCTACTTAGTGTTCTAAATACCGATCCTGCTCCGTTTAATTCACAAGAATAAAAAATCGATGGCAGGGTGCCAATTCTTCGCCGCCACCTGTGTACATTTCCATCACCATCCATCAAGAATTAAGAACCCATCTTGCACCTATTTAAGAGGATGACATCAGTGCGGTCCGGTCGCTGGCACAGGACCAATCTCAAATTCGCCACATTTTTCGTGTTTACCAACAGAATTATCAACATTCAATTGGAAAGTTCATCGAAGGCCAAAGCACCGAGACAATCGGCACACTTACATAACGAATTAATAAATTTGAATAATCGCCAATCGCGAGCGGGGGAAACGACTTTCTTCTTTTTCTCCTCTGCGGAAAAAACGGTTTTCTCCACCTGTGGCCCTCTTACGTAAACGCGCCCCGGTCGCACGCCTCGACTCTAGAAAGTGGCTTAACTTAAGCCGCACATGTCTTTTCTTCGTTTTTGCGGCGACAATCTAGAACCGTGGAACCAGGACGTTGCGAACATGTGTCGAACAGAGGAAGCGCTCAACAATAAAGAAGTACTTTACAATGGAAGCGTGACGTACCTTTGCTGACCCTAATAGTAAAGCTGCAAGCAAGACACATCCGACGTTCGTCATGGCATTAACAATGCAGGTACACAACAACAAACAACAACAACACAAACACACAATAATTTATATTAACAACAGAGAGACAGGTACGACGAGGTTCACATGGGGGCGGCGCACATCGTTCGCGAGGGCTGCTGGCGTTCAGAGGCGGCTGGAAGACATCCGTGATGGTACGACACGACACGCACACACGACGTTTGCACTCTTCTACGCCATTATCGCATCTGACTCCGGGAACGGCTTCCAAGAGGCTACAGGAGGCAGAGAGCAGCACCTGGTAGCCAGCGTGACAACACGAGCAACAGGTGGGGGAGTGCGGACGGATAGGCAACACAATATACACGGACGAGACCTGTCACTCACTGGAACTACATCTTTCAGCTGGAGAGTCTGTTGGTTTCTTAAAAGTTGTCAAACATTTAACAATTGTTTTAGCTTTAGAACCATCGTTTTACAAAATTGTTCGTCATATGGAATGTATGTAATAATTTCCTTCCACAACATAATTGGCCCTTTAACTATAATCCGTCTATTTATTAAGGGTGACGTTAAGCTTTTTCGGCATACTGGAAACTGTAGTTGGCAGACCTAACTTTTAAAGCCGCCCATAGGATTTCTTTAAAAATATGCACTTCTGTCAAATATTGTTTATTAATTATTATTAGCCTTAGATTTATGAATAAACACCTGCACAGAGAAAATTGACTCCATAACATACTTGTAAGTACTTGTATACAAAACATTAATAAAATAATTCTTCCTCCAAAGGTCTTTTCTACCTGTTCTGGTCCGACTTTCAGTGTACCGTTTCGCTTGACTCATCTTCCGGAGCGTCAGGTGTTTATTCATAAATAGAAGAGTCATAAACAATATTTGACAGAAGTGCATACTTTTATGCTTTTATAGTAATCCTATGGGCGGCTTTAAAAGTTAGGTCTGTCAACTACATTGTTCTCATCCCCAATAAGCCAGAAAGTTACTCAGCTTGTAAAATATTTCCGAATCTGTTTTTTCGGCATGTGATTTAAATAAATTAAATGCAGAAATAATATTATCCGATTTTGATTTTTCAAAAACAAATCTATGTATTTGAGAATAAATAAAAAAACACTCAAAATTTCAGGAATTGTGAAGCTTAAAAAGTAAGTTTAAATTTGGTTTTTTCAAAAAACGAAAATGCAGATCTAGAGTGAAATATCACCGTGTGATGCGTGTTGCCTACTATATTTTAAAAATTCACACATCTGACTACACTTTTTCACAAAAAGAAAATTAAAACATATTTAAAATGGTAAATTTTTGTAGAAAAATATGAATTTTGCAATTAGAGTTCTCCCTCAATCTAACAACCAATGAAAAATTAATCAGAAATGAGACAGGGGCGGGTGGGTGGGGTTTAATCATTGGTTAGTATTTTAAATTATTGGTGCAATGAGAGTATGTCATTACGAAAAGTAAGTCAAAAGATGTTTATGATGCATGACAAATTTTTTATTGATGAAATTACCCCACTTTCTCAAAAAGGTGGTAATACGCCCCTCTTTATTTAAAAACGTAAAACCTTCTCGGGGGTCTCAACTGTCTTTTTTAAAAATATAAATTCTTCTCGGGGACACCAATTGTCTTTTCTTTAAGAATGTTGAACCTTCTCGGAGGTCACAATTGTATTTTAAAACTGTAATACTTTCTCGGGAGCGCCAAATGTCTTTTTCTTTAAAAATGTGAAACCTTCTTGACGGTCTTCTTTTAAAAATGATAAACCTTTTTGGGGGCGCCAAATGTTTTTTTTTTTAAGAGTGTGAAACCTTCTCGGGAGTCCCAATTGTCTTTTTTTTTATTTAAAACCGTCTAGGGGGTGCCAATAGGTTTTTTTTTAATAATGTGAAACCTTCTCGGGGGCGCCAACAGTTTTTTTTTTTTTTTTTTGAAGAATGTGCAACCTTCTTGGGGGTCCCAACAGTTTTCTTTTAATGTAAAACCTTTTCGGGGGCCCCAAATGTTTTTTTTTTAATAATGTAAAACCTTCTCGGGAGTCCCAATTGTCTTTTATTTTAAATGTCAAACCTTCTCTGGGGTGCCAATAGTTTTTTTTTTTAATAATGTGAAACCTTCTCGGGAGTCACAATTGTTTTTTTTTTAATGTAAAACCTTCTCAGGGGTGCCAATAGTTATTTTTTTAATAATGTGAAACCTTCTCGGGAGTCCCAATTGTCTTTTTAAAAATGTAAAACCTTCTGGGGGGCGCCAAATATTTTTATTTCTCAGAATGTCAAACCTTCTCGGGAATCCCAACTGTTTTTTTTTTAATGTAAAACCTTCTCGGGGGCCCCAAATGTTTTTTTTTTAATAATGTGAAACCTTCTCGGGAGTCCCAATTGTCTTTTTTTTTAATTTAAAACCTTCTAAGGGGTGCCAACATGTTTTTTTTTAATAATGTGAAACCTTCTCGGGGGTCCCAACTGTCTTTTCTTAAAAATGTAAAACCTTCTCGGGGACGCCAATAGTTTTTTTTTTTTTTTTTTTGAAGAATGTGTAACCTTCTTGGGGGTCCTAACAGTTTTCTTTTAATCTAAAACCTTTTCGGGGGCCCCAAATGTTTTTTTTTTAATAAAGTGGAACCTTTTCGGAAGTCCCAATTGTCTTTTATTTTAAATGTAAAACCTTCTCTGGGGTGCCAATATTTTTTTTTAAGAATGTGAAACCTTCTCGGGGGTCCCAGCTAATTTTTTTTTTTTTAATGTAAAACCTTCGCGGGGACCCCAAATGTTTTTTTTTTTTTTTTTTAATAATATAAAACCTTCTCGGGACTCCCAATTGTCTTTTATTTTAAATGTAAAACCTTCTCTGGGGTGCCAATAGTTTTTTTTTAATAATGTGAAACCTTCTCGGGAGTCCCAATTGTTTTTTTTTTTCAATGTAAACCTTCTCGGGGGTGCCAATAGGTTTTCTTTTAATGTAAAACCTTCTCGGGAGTCCCAATTGTCTTTTATTTTAAATGTCAAACCTTCTCTGGGGTGCCAATATTTTTTTTTTTTAATAATGTGAAACCTTCTCGGGAGTCCCAATTGTTTTTTTTTTAATGTAAAACCTTCTCAGGGGTGCCAATAGTTATTTTTTTAATAATGTGAAACCTTCTCGGGAGTCCCAATTGTCTTTTTAAAAATGTAAAACCTTCTGGGGGGCGCCAAATATTTTTATTTCTCAGAATGTCAAATCTTCTCGGGAGTCCCAATTGTCTTTTATTTTAAATGTAAAACCTTCTCGGGAGTCCCAATTGTTTTTTTTTTAATGTAAAACCTTCTCAGGGGTGCCAATAGTTTTTTTTTAATAATGTGAAACCTTCTCGGGAGTACAAACTATTTTTTTTTAATGTAAAACCTTCTCGGGGGTGCCAATACTTTTTTTTTAATAATGTGAAACCTTCTCGAGGGTTCCAACTGTTTTTTTTTTATGTAAAACCTTCTCGGGGGCCCCAAATGTTTTTATTTTTAATAATGTAAAACCTTCTCGGGGGCCCCAAATGGGTCTTTTTAATAATGTGAAACCTTCTCGGGGGTCCCAATTGTCTTTTTTAAAAATGTAAAATCTTCTCCGGGGCGCCAAATTTTTTTTTTTAATAATGTGAAACCTTCTCGAGGGTTCCAACTGTTTTTTTTTTTTTAATATAAAACCTTCTCGGGACTCCCAATTGTCTTTTATTTTAAATGTAAAACCTTCTCTGGAGTACCAATTGTTTTTTTTTTTTTTAATAATGTGAAACCTTCTCGGGAGTTTCAATTTTTTTTTTTTAATGTAAAACCTTCACGGGGGCGCCAATAGTTTTTTTTTTTGAAGAATGTGAAACCTTCTCGGGGGCTCTAAATGTTTTTTTTTTAATAATGTGAAACCTTCTCGGGGGTACCAACTGTCTTTTTTTAAAAATGTAAAACCTTCTCATGGGTGCCAATAGTTTTTTTTTAATAATGTGAAACCTTCTCGGGGGTCCCAACTGTCTTTTTTTAAAAATGTAAAACCTTCTCGGGGGCGCCAATAGTTTTTTTTTAAGAATGTGAGACCTTCTCGGGGATCCCAACTTTTTTTTAATGTAAAAGCTTCTCGGGGGCTCAAAATGTTTTTTTTAATAAAATGTGAAACCTTCTCGGGAGTCCCAATTGTCTTTTTTTTTAATGTAAAACCTTCTCAGGGGTGCCAATAGTTTTTTTTAAGAATGTGAAACCTTCTCGGGGGTCCCAACCATTTTTTTTTTTAATGTAAAACCTTCTCGGGGGCCCCAATTGTTTTTTTTTTAATGTAAAACCTTCTCGGGACTCCCAATTGTCTTTTATTTTGAATGTAAAACCTTCTCTGGAGTACCAATTGGTTTTTTTTTTAATAATGTGAAACCTTCTCGGGAGTCCCAATTGTTTTTTTTTTAATGTAAAACCTTCTCGGGAGTCCCAATTGTCTTTTATTTTAAATGTAAAACCTTCTCTGGGGTGCCAATAGTTTTTTTTTTTTTTTTAATAATGTGAAACCTTCTCGGGAGTCCCAATTGTTTTTTTTTTTTAATGTAAAACCTTCTCGGGGGTGCCAATAGGTTTTTTTTAATAATGTGAAACCTTCTCGGGAGTCCCAATTGTCTTTTATTTTAAATGTAAAACCTTCTCGGGAGTCCCAATTGTTTTTTTTTAATGTAAAACCTTCTCAGGGGTCCCAACTGTGTTTCGTTAATAATGTGGAACCTTCTCGGGCGTCCCAACTATTTTTTTTTTAATGTAAAACCTTCTCGGGGACCCCAATTGTTTTTTTTTAATAATGTAAAACCTTCTCGGGAGTTCCAATTGTCTTTTATTTTAAATGTAAAATCTTCTCTGGAGTACCAATTGTTTTTTTTTTGTTTTTAATAATGTGAAACCTTCTCGGGAGTTCCAATTGTTTTTTTTTTTTTTAATGTAAAACCTCGGGGGTGCCAATATATATATTTTTTTAATAATGTGAAACCTTCTGGGGGGCGCCAATAGTTTTTTTTTTTGAAGAATGTGAAACCTTCTCGGTGGCTCCAAATGTTTTTTTTTTTAATAATGTGAAAACTTCTCGGGGGTACCAACTGTCTTTTTTTTAAAATGTAAAACCTTCTCATGGGTGCCAATAGTTTTTTTTTAATAATGTGAAACCTTCTCGGGGGTCCCAACTGTCTTTTTTTAAAAATGTAAAACCTTCTCGGGAGCGCCAATAGTTTTTTTTTTTGAAGAATGTGAAATCTTCTCTGTGTTCCTAGTGTCTTTTTTTAGCAATATAAGATCTTCGACTTTCGACCAATGGTTTTTGATTCGCTGTGTGGGTCAGGGGCGGAGCTTAATTAAATCCTTAATTCCCCACAAGAAATTACTGGGTGAAACATCTTGAAGTATCGTGTTGGTGGAAGAAAACTATATATTTATATTAAGATAAAGAAGCCAATGATTAAGCCCCACCCACCCGCCCTGATCTCAATTCTGATGATTTTTCATTCATTGTCAGAGCGAAAGGCGGAGCCTAATTGCAAAATCAATATTTCTCATTTTCTCTACAAAAAATGTACCGTTTTTTACATATTTCAAGTATCTTGTGAAAAGAAACTGTTACTGTGTAAAAAAAAAACAAAAAACACATTGTTTGGTTATAATAGATGAATAGAATGTTCTGTACTTCTATTCTTTCTGAAACCAATCATATTCTATGGGAAACATTCATAATTGACAATATTGACATATGAGATACATAACCTTATTTTTTGACACACAATGGATTCGAACAATTTTATAAAAAAAGCGACCAAGAAACTGCGGCGGCATCAGCACGTTCTGACCAAGGAAACAGGAGTGACGTGTTCCGCAGCCCCCACGACGGTAAACCTCGCATTAAGAAAAAATTCCACATCCTGACATAACCTCAATTCCAGAACTTGGGCATTTGCAATACGGGTGCAGTCAATGGCTTAACCGAAGAAACAATCATTGAGAATTTCCACCACTTCGGCCCCCTCGAACGCATTTTACTAATCCCTGGCAAGTCATGTGCTTTTGTCAGCTACAAAAACCAAACCAGCGCCATAAAAGCATTTGAGAGTGCCAACGCCACACTGAAGATCGCTCAAGGGGGCAAACCCGTCTACTTAACGTACGTGGAAGCCCTTCCAGAAGCCACTCACGACAAAATTTATGACCGCTTACCCCCAGGTTTGACAATAATTGAAGACTTCATTAGCGAACAGGAAGAACATGTATTGATATCTTTGTGCAACTTTAGCCAAATTAGTGGTATGAAACACCGACAAGTCAGACATTTTGGTTATGAGTTCCGCTACGATATTAACAACGTCGATAAAGACAAACCCCTTCCAGAAAAAATCCCTAATGAATGTAATTCCTTATTAGAGCGCCTCCCTATTAGTTTTCACCCTGATCAACTGACAGTCAATCACTATAACCCCGGTCAAGGTATACCGCCTCACATTGACACCCACAGCGCGTTTGAGGACCCAATTTTGTCCCTAAGTCTGAATTCCGCCGTCGTTATGGAATTTAAAAACAAAGAAACCGTCTGTGTTCTTTTACCACGTCGTTCGCTACTTATAATGTCAGGAGAGAGTCGCTACGCCTGGACTCACGGGATTATACCACGAAAATACGACTTCTGCTACTCAGGGGAAGGTTGCAACGCTTTTGAGCGCGGAATTCGGGTGTCCTTTACTTTCCGCAAAGTCAGACAAGGAGAGTGTGATTGCACATTTCACAGGTTCTGTGATTCGCGCCAGAAAAACAAAATTGGTGCCGATTTGGCGCATAAATTGGAAAATCAGCACGTTCATGACGTTTATGAAGACATTGCGGGTCATTTTAGCGAAACTAGGCACAAACCGTGGCCTAATGTTCTCAATTTTGTTAATAATTTGGCAGTTGGGAGCGTTCTGGTGGATGTGGGGTGCGGCAACGGGAAGTATTTTGGATACAAAAAGGAAATAATTGAGGTACTTGGTTACTAATAATTATGTTGGGGTTTACTAATTTGTGATTTAGTTAGGTACTGATCGCAGTTTTAAGTTGAATGACGTCTGCAAAGAGAGAGGGTTTGAAGTCTTCACTGGAAATTGTCTTAGTTTGCCTTTGAAGGATGAAATTGCTGATGCCGTGATTAGTATTGCTGTTATTCACCACCTGTCAACTGAAGAAAGACGTTTGAAGGCGGTTTCTGAAATCGCTAGAGTCTTAAGACTAGGTGGTGAAGGTTTAATATGTGTGTGGGCTAAGCAACAAGTGAAGAATCATGAAAAATCGACTTATATTAAGCAGGATCGGAAAAATCGAAGGAATGACGAGATTAGGGTTCTGGAGGGTGTTAATTTACCCGTGCACACGAACAGGACCGATTTTAATCATAGTGACGTTCTGGTGCCATGGAAGTTGAAAAATCAAGAAGTGACTTTTTTGAGGTTTTACCACGTTTTTGAGGAGGGGGAGCTGGATCAGTTGTGTGAAAAGGTCGGGGGGTTGTCGTTGGTTAAAAGTTACTACGACCAAGGAAATTATTGTGTACAGTTTAAGAAAATATAAATAATAACCCCTGTATGTTATGCAACCCATTATACGAGCCGCGTGTTCGCACTAGTCTCACGTGATAACCCGACCAATCCAAACGCGCAAAATTTGACACATGTTGTTGACAGAAGTTTGAGACGTTTTCGACTTTTTGCCCACATGGAAGATATTGAAGTCGTTATCAATGACGTATTTGTTATCTTTGCCCGATAAGAATGTGGAAACGTGCAGGTTTGGACCCAGGGACACTCCGTGAATGTCCGTGTCTGTGTCTGTGTGATGTCCCTATCTTCGGAATAAATGAATCAGTCACTTCCCATTTGATAGTATTTACGAATCGTGCAATAACAATGAGTTAACAAAGGCTCTATTATTTCGTTCAACTACGTTTTAGTTTGTGTTTTTATACGTGAAACTATGTGATAATTCGAAAAAAATGCCCAGTAGTAGCTACGGTACGTTCAAGTAAAGTGTCCACAGAAATTTGAGTTGTGCTTTCAGGATATGAACCCATCGGCGACCCTTGCCACCAGATCCTAGATTTAAATTTGGAAGATGTCCACTGCAACCTCTATGGTTATAAAGAAAGCCGCCTTCGTTCCTTTTTTTATCATTTGTGTGGGGTAGTCCTTCTTGGAATCCCCTACTTGGTTTGTAGCTGGTTTTCTCCACTCAGAACCGTCAAATTTAAAAAATGTCACCTTGAAGAAGCCACGGTTGTTCTAAGTGAGTGGATGCCACAGCTATTTTTTTTCTAAGTTTTAATTGTAGTCAAGGACGCACACGGTAACGACGACCTGCTTAAAGTTAAGACTGAGAATGCTAAACTGCCAACCCAAGAACATGTACGTCTGCGGTTTTTTCATTATAGGCACGCGAAGTTTGTCTGGATACCGCGACAAGAAGTGTTCGGACCTTTAGATTTGTTGATTCCGACTCAAACCGTAGATGGCCTCTTGGATAACACAGAGGGGCTTTTTTACAATGACTACGTGGATGCGTAAGTACTATCGCGCGTAAAGGTATTGTTGGTGCCCAGCAGTGAGGGGTACTAAGCTCCTCTGCCTCTCTGTGGGTTGCCATAATTCCCTAAACACTCGAGTGGAATAAAATGGACAAGGGTTAAAGTTTCCATGCTTGATTACAGAAATTGATTACATATTAGTTTTTTTTATTTTTACTTATATGTATTACATTTTTCTATTTGTCAGTTTTTTGATTTTTCACTTTTTTTGTTTCGCTTTTTCAATTTTTCGATATTTTGGCTTCTCGTTTTTAGATTTTTCGATTTTTCCGATTTTCGGATAATTCATCTTTTCGATTTTACATTTTTTTAACGTTTCTGTTGTGGGATTTCTGTATTTAAATTTTTTGATTTTCCAATTTTGCAATTTTTGGCGTTTCTAAATTTTTGGATTTTTCGATTTCTCAAGACTTTTCGATTTTTCGTCTTTCCGATTTCTCGATTTCTCAAATTTTCAATGTTTTAAGTTTTGAGATTTCTCAATATGTATTTCAATTTTTAAATTTTTCGACTTTCTGTTTTTTGCGATTTTTTACTTACCCGGTTTTTCAAAATATTTTAAAAACGGTTAATTAATAAAATAGGACTTTTTTAATCTTCCACTTTTTTTTTTTGTTTCGATTTCTCAGTCTTTCGATATTTTGCCTTCTCGTTTTTAGATTTTTCGGAATTAATTTTTCAATTTTCGATTTATCGGGCTTTTTAAGTTTAAATTTTTCAATCTTCAATTTTCCCATTTTTCGATCTTTAACTATTTCGATATCTCTATTTTTTGATTTTTCGTCTTCTCGACATATCGATCTTTTGATGTTTCGATTTCGCGTTTTTTCAATTTTTTGATTTCCATTTCGCGATTTCTGTTTTTTCGTCTTTTCTATTATTCGAGTTTCCAGTTTTTCGACGTTCCAATTTTGGGATTTATGTATTTAAATTTTTCAATTTTTCAATTTTTGGCCTTTCTAAATTTTTGGATTTTTCGTTTTCTCAATTTCTCGATTAATCGCTTTTTTAATTTTCCGATTTTTCACTTTTTTGGTTTAACGGTTTTTTAAGTTCAACTTTTTGACTTTTGAATTTTCCCATAATTTCGATTTTTAGCCACTTCCATTTCAAAATTTTTAGATTTTTGGACTTTCTGTTTTTTTCTTTTTTTTTTTGATTTTTTAATTATTCTATTTTTCGAAATATTGCGACTTTTTAAATTCTACATTTTTCGATTTTTCAGTTTTTTGATTTTTCGATTTGTTGATGTTTTTATAGCTCGATTTTTTGAATTTTCAATTTTTCGAATGTTTAAATTTTAGATTTTTCAGTTTTTGGATATTTCAATTTTTCAATCTTCGATTTATCGGGTTTTTTAGTTTAAATTTTTCAATTTTTAATTTTCCCATTTTTCGATCTCTAGCTATTTCGATATCTCAATTTTTCGATTTTTCGACTTCTCGATCTTTTGATGTTTCGAATTAGCGATTTTTCAATTTTTCGATTTCGATTTCTCAGTTTTTCAATAATTCATCTTTTCGATTTTTCGATTTTACATTTTTCAACGTTTTTGTTGTGGGATTTATGCATTTAAATTTTTTGATTTTTCAATTTTCCAATTTTGGCATTTCTAAATTTTTGGATTTTTTGTTTTTTCAATTTCTTAATTAATCGGTTTTTTAATTTTCCGATTTCGACTTTTCGATTTCTCAGTTGTTCGATAAATAATTCATCTTTTCGATTGTCTAATTTTTGGCGTTTCTAAATTTTTGGATTTTTGGATTTATCGGTTTTTCGATTAATCAATTTTTTTAATTTTTCCGATTTCTCGATTTCTCAAATTTTCAATGTTTAAGTGTTGAGATTTTTTCAATTTTAAGATTTTTCAAAATGTATTTCGATTTTTCAAATTTTTAGATTTTTCGACTTTGTTTTTTTTTATTTTTTACTAGGTAATTCGATTTTTCAAAATATTGTGACTTTTCAATCTTAAATTTTTTTGATTTTTCGATTTGTTGATGTTTTGATTGCTGAATTTTTTGAATTTTCAATTTTTCGAATTTTTAAATTTTAGTTTTTTCACCTTTTTTTTTGTTTCGATTTCTCAATTTTTAGATATTTTGTCTTCTCGAATTTAATTTTTCGATTTTTCAATTTTTTCAATTTTTGGCGGTTCTAAATTTTTGGATTTTTCGTTTTCGCAATTTCTCGATTAAACGGTTTTTTAATTTTCCGATTTTTCACTTTTTCGGTGTATCAATTTTTTTAGTTAATTTTTTTTTAATGTTCCCATTTTTCGTTTTTTAGCCACTAACATTTCTCAATTTTTCGATTTTTCGACTTCTCGACCTTTTGATGTTTCGATTTCGCGAGTTTTCAATTTTTCGATTTCCATTTCTCGATTTCTCAGTTTTTCGATAATTCATCTTTTCGATTTTTCGATTTTACATTTTTTCAACTTTCTGTTATGGGATTTATGTATTTAAATTTTTCGATTTTTCAATTTTTGGCGTTTCTAAATTTCTGGATTAATCGATTTTTTAATTTTTCGACTTTTCGATTTTTCGTCTTTCCGATTTCTCGATTTCTCAAATTTTCAATGTTTATGTTTCGAGATTTTTCAATATGTATTTTGATTTTAAAATTTTTAGATTTTGCGACTTTCTGCTTTTTTTTTTATGTTTTACTTATTCGATTTTCAAAGTATTGGGAGTCTTTAAATCTTACATTTTTCGATTTTTCAGTTTTTTGAATTTTCGATTTCTCGAATTTTTAAATTTTAGATTTTTCTCTTTTTTTTGTTTCGATTTCTCAATCTTTCGATTTTTGCCTTCTCGTTTTTGGATTTTCCGATTTTTCAATTTCTCGGAATTAATTTTTCAATTTTTCGATATTTCGTTTTTTCAATTATGATTTATCGGGTTTTCTAAATTTAAGTTTTTCGATTAATCAATTTTTTAATTTTTCGACTTTTCGATTTTTCATCTTTGCGATTTGTCGATTTCTCAAATTTTCAATGTTTAAGTTTTGAGATTTTTCAATTTTAAGATTTTCCAATGTGGTTCGTTTTTTTTACATTTTTCGAGTTTCTTGTTGTTTTTTTTTTGGTTTTTTATTTATTCGATTTTCAAAATATTAAGACTTTTTAAATCTTACATTTTTCGATTTTTCAGTTTTTTGAATTTTCAATTTCTGGAATTTTTAAATTTTAGATTTTTCGCATTTTTTTTTTGTTTCGATTTCTCAGTCTTTCGATTTTTTGCCTTATTGTTTTTAGATTTTTTGCTTCTCCAATTTTTCGGAATTAATTTTTCAGTTTTTCGATATTTCGGTTTTTCAATTTTCGATTTATCAGGTCTTTTAGTTTAAATGTTTCAATTTCGAATTTTCCCATTTTTCGATTTTTAGCCACTTCCATTTCTCAATTCTTCGATTTTTCGATCTTTTGATGTGTCGATTTCTCGATTTTTCAATTTTTCGATTTTGATTTCTTGATTTCTCTCTCAGTTTTTCGATAATTCATCATTTGGATTTTTCGGTTTTACAATTGTTCAACGTTTCAGTTGTGGGATTTATATATTTAAATTTTTTGATTTTCCAATTTTCCAATTTTTGGTGTTTCTAAATTTTTGGATTTTTTGATTTCTCAAGACCTTTCAAATTTTCGTCTTTTGCGTTTTCTGGATTTCCCAGATTTTCAATGTTTACGTTTTGGGATTTTTTCTATTTTAAGATTTTTCAATATGTACATATTTCGATTTTTAAATTTTTAGATTTGTTTTTTTTTTATTTTTTACTTATTCGATTTTTCAAAATATTGCGACTTTTTAAATCTTACATTTTTCGGTTTTTTGATTTATCGATTTGTTGATGTTTTGATTGCCGAATTTTTAAATTTTCAAATTTTCGAATTTTTGAATTTAAGATTTTTCACTTTTTTTTGTGTCGATTTCTCAGTCTTTCGATATTTGGCCTTCTTGTTATTAGATTTTTCGATTTTCAATTTTTCAAAGTAATTTTTTCAGTTTTTCGATATTTCGACTTTCCAGTTATCGATTTATCGGGTTTTTTAAGTTTAAATTTTTCAATTTTTATTTTTCCCATTTGCTATTTCGATATCTCAGTTTTTAGATTTTTCGACTTCTCGATTTTTTGATGTTTCGATTTTGCGTTTTTTCAATTTTTCGATTTTACATTTTTTCTACGTTTTTGTTGTGGGATTTATGTATTTAGTTATTTATATTTTTGGCGTTTCGAAATTTTTGGATTTTTCCATTTCTCAAGACTGTTCGATTTTTCGTCTTTCCGATTTCTCGATTTCTCAAATTTTCAATGTTTAATAAGTTTCGAGATTTTTCAATTTTAAGGTTTTTCAATATCCATGTATTTCGATTTTTTTAAATATTGCAACTTTTCGATCTTTTGATGTTTCGATTTCGCGTTTTTTAATTTTCAGATTTTTCTCTTTTTCGGTTTATCGGGTTTTTAAGTTCAAATTTTTCACTTTTGAATTTTCCTATTTTTCGATTTTTAGACACTTTCATTTCACAATTTTTCGATTTTTCGACTTCTCGATCTTTTGATGTTTCGATTTCGCGATTTTACATTTTTTCAACGTTTTTGTTGTGGGATTTATGTATTTAAATTTTTTGATTTTTCAGTTTTCCAATTTTTGGCGATTCTTAATTTTTGGATTTTTCGATTTCGCAGTTTCACGATTAAATCGATTTATTAATTTTTCGACTTTTCGATTTTTCGTCTTTCCGATTTCTCGATTTCTCAAATTTTCAATGTTTAAGTTTGAGATTTTTTTTATATTATTTTTTTGGATGCGTAAGTACTATCGCACGTAAGGGTATTGTTGGTGCCCAGCAGTGAGGGGTACTAAGCTCCTCTGCCTCTCTGTGGGTTGCCATAATTCCCTAAACACTCAAGTGGAATAAAATAGACAAGGGTTAAAGTTTCCATGCTTGATTACAGAAATTGATTACATA